GAATATTGTATAACAAAATGATATAGATTACGATCTCTTGCATATTTTCTTGGATTATTCGATTATATGACAAATGTGAAAACAAAATTGGGAATTTTACTATATTTGGGAAATTGTTGTGAATTGTGAATATTCTTGATTTCCTCATTGTATGGTTGTTGTGATGGACTTGGATTACCTTCGAGAGATGTCGTAGAGTGTTAGAGGTTAGTCTATCCCAATGGGGGGTGAGATAGTTGTCTAATGCTCGTAGTGGATCGTTGTTGTGCTCGCGATCACTATTGTTCACATATACACCGAGGAAAAGGGTTAGTATACTAGACACCTTGGGAGGATTTCGTCTGTGAAACCCGGGAAAAATTTTAACTTTTTTTGAAAAAAAATGGCAAAATGGTAATTTGCCATTATAGTGTGGGTTAAAAAAAAAACTGGTATTTTTATAGATCTCGGATGATGAAACGGACCTCACCGTTGGATTCGTCTCACGAAATCTAGTTACCCAGACAAATTTCGTCGAATTCTGAGATAGTCAGATTTTTCACGTTTTTCGAGGTGACGGGTGTTCGATGACCCCAAAAAAATGAAATTTTTATAAAAATTTGAAAATTTAAAAAATATTTTAAATAAAGTTCATATAAAATATTTTGAGTTTAAATCGGTACGAAATTTAATCGTTTCGGGATGAAAACGGACCCGGACAAAGGACGACACTTGGCGCGACGAGGGCCAAGTGTTTAGAATTCATTTGGCCGGCTGGATCAAACCAAAGAGCAAAGGAGAAAAAAAAATATAATTCTTCAAGCTTTCTTTCGCCGATTCTCGGAATTCCGTCGGTCGAAATTCGTCGGGCCAAGAATTAAAGTCGATCTACGCGACGAGAGCTACGCGTGGGTACCAAAAACAAAGATTTTCACCGAAGATTCAAAGAGAGGATTTTGGAGAAATCTAAACTTTGGGCTTCAATCTTGTTCTTGAGGCTTCCTACAAATTCTTTACGCTTCAAGAGGTAGGGTTCCTCCTACTCGGACCTATTTCTAACCTAAGGTGTCCATAGGGTTCATGTGGGCTGTTTTGGGTATTTCTAATATTTTTTCATTATGATTGGTGCTATGAAAATGGGTAGGATCAATTTTAGTGTGAATTGGTAGTTAGAAAGTGCTAGTTTGTGATTTCTTGAATGTTTAGATAATTGGTTATATAAAAATCATATATTCTGATTTTTATTTTGTTTGAATGATCCATATAAAATCTTGGCTTGATTTTGGTATATGGAAGTATTTATGTAATCCCTTGAAAATTGGGATCATGTGGGCATGCTTTGTGTTTTATATTATGCCTTGTGAATGAAATGTAATATTAGCATGTATTATGTGTTATCATGTTGATGGAGTGTTGATATATGCTCTTGGATATATTGAACTTGAAATGGTTATGTGATTATATGCAAATGATATTAATTGTCATGGTATACAATGATATTTAAAAATTGTCATTTGACATGCATTGCAATATGGACATGGAATTAACATCACATTCATGGGCTACATGCATGAGTGTGGGTGTAGGGTTGCATGGGGTGATCAACACCAACATTGGTTCTTGATGGTAGGCTCGGGAAAGTGGGATGGAATGTCCTACGGAGTCGCACGGTGACATGCATAAGAAAACTTGTGTCGGGTATAGCAAGTAGGGCTAGACACTCCCTCGGGTGAAAAACCCGACCACTTGGTTCATACACTTACCGGCGGTGAAATTCCAGAAAAGTGTAACGGCGTACGGAGCCGGAGGTGCGATTCCTGAATCCGATACCCCATAAAGGCACATGATTTTGATATATAAATTATTCATTTGATGGGAAACATCCAAGAATGAATTAGTTTTATGACATATGGTTGATTTCAAAATGATCTTTGGATGTGTTTCATCAAAGACGTTTGTTTTACACGTAAGTGTCGCATTGTGTTGTGGGAGTCGGTGTGGGCTCGGGATAGCATGCATGGGTGAGTTTCATCTCATTACTTGGCATGGCATCATGATTTTCCAACATTGTATTATATGTTATTGTTGGAGGGAATACTTGTTGTGAAATGTTGCATTTATACATTGCATATGCATTTTAGGTGATGAGTAGCCTTTGTAGGGATTATTCTACTGGGCATTGGCTCATCCTATACGGGAAACATTTCAGGTGTGGGTCATGCACCAATGGACGGCTCACAATCAGGGTCACATGGTTGAAGAAAAGTCGACTTGTGGCTTCCAATCCATTTTTTTTTGTAAAAGTAGATTTGTAATTAAATTTTGGCATGTAATGTGTAAAGGAATTGTAATAGAGTATATATGGACTGTTTTAATATAACCTTGCATATTTTGATATAAATATGATGATTGGACCCGGTGTGGTCAAGTTTTACGTATAAAATGGACCCTGTGTGGTTATGGTATTATATTGACCTCGGATGGGTCATGTAAATGTTGATTGCACATATTGTGTTTTGGGGTAGAGCTTCCCGTACAAAGGAGACTCTGCCCGGATTTCGTTAAATTATGGATCCTGGTAAATGGGACACAACGGTGCGATATCGAGTTATACGGTATCCACGGGCATTCCATGGGTTGATGGGAAATTAACGGATCCCATGAATTTGGGGTGTCACATCGTCAATGCCGTAGGAGACGGTACACGCCTTTCCTAAAGAGATTTGTGATTGTTGGTTGGAATTGGTGGACTAGGCATGATCGTTAGGTAGATTCACGAGAAGCAATCAACATACATGGTACGGGGATGAATCAAAAATACATGGAATCGGGAGTTGGGTCGTTCTTGCCGATGCATTGGTATGGGACAATGCTTAGGGAGAAGCCCTTCTTAAATAGCTTAAATTAGAATTTTGTTTATCGATGCTAAACTCACTTTATTCTTTTAACTGATTATTGCTATTGTTTAAACTTGAGATCTCTTTTAAAATGTCACTGTTTTCATTCCAAACCTATATATATGTTAGTTGTCAAATGAGACCGACCGTTTGCTATGTTTTTCAAACCTTGTTTGAGTTGAGAGGATTTTGCTACAGAGCTTCGTGCTCACCCCCTACAAATAAAATTTTTTCAGATTTCACACTTGAGGAGGAGTTAGGAGCCGAGGAGCCCACCCATTGGAAGACTCCGCTTGACGGGGATGTGGATCCCGAGGTGGACGCTTAGAGCGACACTTTTATTTTGTTCTAGACTAGATTATGCTTAGAATATCCTTTTGAACTCTAGTTCATTTCTGTTATTTCCGCTGCGTTATATTATTACATTTGGGAGATGTAAAGGCCAAGATTAGACCTATTAATTTGGGATGATAGTGTGGATATGACATATGATGAATGCAAGTTTATTTTATGATGAAAAAATGGACCCGGTGTGGTCAATAGTTATGCATATGTGGACCCGGTGTGGTCAATTGTAATATAATTGTACAGGTTGTGTTTTGGGTAGAGCTCCCCGTACAAAGGAGACTCTGCCCAAATTTTGTTAAAATATGAATGGTTGATGAATGAAACTTTCGTCGTGATGAATTTTACTTAATGCTCTCATACGGTAAATGGTTTTTAGAATATAATGTCATCCACGGGGGTTTTTGGGGCGTTACAATTAGAGTAGGGGTCACGAGAGAGCAGAGCGTACCGCCCTGCCATGGTCGCGACTGTTGTCATAGTCAACAAGGTTGAAACTTCTAGGAAAAAACTTCGAATTGGGAGGGCGATCCTCCCGGTGAACTGACCGTACCCCAAACCAACACAGGTGAACAAGTATAGTATACTAGGGCGCTTGAGAGAACCATGTCGAAGGAACTCGACAAAATGACCCTGTAACTTCAAGAAAAGGGGTGCTCTCCTATCTTTTGATTAGGACAGTGACACATACCAGAGGGTAGCGACTGTTTATTAAAAACACAAGACTCTGCTAAGTGGTAACACGATGTATAGAGTCTGACACCTGCCCGGGTGCTGGAAGGTCGGAAGGAGAAGTGTTATAAGCTTTGAATGAAAGCCCCGGTAAACGGCGGCAGTAATTCTAACTGTCCTAAGATAGCGAAATTCCTTGTCGCATAAGTAGCGACCTGCACGAATGGTGTAACGACTGCCCCGCTGTCTTCGACATGGACCCGGTGAAATTGAGTTCTCCGTGAAGATGCGGAGTACCAACGGCTAGACGATAAGACACCGTGCACCTTAACTAGGGACTCAGTGATAATTTAATATTGGGACTCATTGACAATCTAATGACCAAAATTGTTAAGTTTCTAAATTATGCCGTAATAGCATTGCTCTTTGCAAATAGTAAAACATTAAATCATAGTGCTCAATTCAAAGCATAGAAACCCAAATAAAGGAAAAATATTATTTAAACATAATTTGAAGATTTAATTAATTACAGTCGTTGGATTAAAAGTTTAGAATAATTCTATTTAGACCTAAAAATTTAACCTAATTTGTTAACATAATGACGTAATGTTAGACTAATAGACCTTTGGTCTAATGATACTCTTTATTTAGTGAAGACTTTACCTTTTTGATGTCAAGAATACAAGCCCTCTTTCCTCTCTCCCCTCCCCCTCCAAAAAAAAATATTTAAAAAAAAAATGATATAGTTTTAGTGGAACTATTTAATCAACACCCACTTTCAATATTTGACGAAACTGACGAACAACTCAAAGGTTACAGAGAATTAAATCAGTAAATTAAATCAATAAATTAAGTCTTAATGAGCTAATTATGAACTTAATTGGTGACATAATTCATCATCTCAAGTAACGGCCAATTAAGGAAACTTGAAGGTAAAGTATGATTTGATTTCTAAATCTCATCAAGTTGGGGTGAGTAATTAAAACACGGGGTGAGTAATTAAAACACTAACGAAAAAGGAAACAAAATCTGAGACACAGCCAACGACACAGAGACACAGCCAACGACACATATATATAAAATCAAAAATTCAGAAAGAAGAACAGCCAACCTCCTGAGTCCCAATGTACAAACCTCCGCCATCGTCTCTCCATAAACCCTAAATTCCACCACCCGATGTATTCTTCACCTCCGTTTGTTTGATTTCTCTCCCCTCTCTCCGAAAAGTTTCACCATTGTAAAGCAATGGAGTCGTTGATCGAACTCTGCGATCTGATCGCACAAAATCTTTCGCAGTTTGCTGATAAATTGGCTTGGATTTGTGGCCGATGTCCACCGATTGACTCTGTACTCGCCACCGCTAGATTTCTTTCTAAATGCCCCAATTTCGACGACATGAGGCCCTAACCGGCAGTCCTAGGGTTTTTTAAGTCGATTCCGTATTCTTTTTGGCCACAGTCGTTTGGAAGCGATTCAATCGATTCGTTCGATTTTTTGAGTTATGTGAATAAAGCCAGTGAGTTGTCGTCGGATTTTGCCATGGCCGTTCCGGAGTATACGGGAGAGATTGTGATGTCGGCGATTAACAATGTCAGTGGGGATTTGGGGGTTTCAAGGGTTTTCTTGAATGCTCTGTTGCAGTATTTTCCTCAAATTCTTCCTTCCTATGCACACAAATTAGTGTCCACTCTTCTAGATCGATTTGAAATTTCGGTTCCTAGTTCACCGAAGCAGCTAGTTGCGATAACACCTGAAGCGTCATCGTCTCAGAGTTCGCCCCTCAGTGCAAACCATTATCAATCAAATGAGAGAAACAGTCCAGGAAACGAGGTCAGCAATGCCTCTAGTTCTTCGAGCGGTGAGGCTTCAAGGGTTACAGATGAGAAGACCAGTGCATTGTCGTCGAAAGGATTGGTGATGAATGGGGGCAGCCTTGCGTGTAAGAGCAATGTGGATATATTTGGTGCTGGTGTTGGGTTCAATGATGGAGGAGGAGGCTGTTCCGCGACGTACAAGCGAGTGGTAGCCTCTTTTGAGGAAGAGCCTGTGGAGAGCCTTCAACAACAGGAGATTGCTTTCAAGCTGATTGGGACACATATTGGATAAAGTCCAGATTGACCTTAAGCTTTTGGAACAAGTGAGGGCCATTCGCCAAGGAGCAACTCCAATCAATGTTGGCTTTCCTAAAGGTAAAATTCATGGGTATCCACCCTTTTGGTTTTGAATTTTATTGATGTCTTGATGAAAAAACTATATAGATGAATGATAAAGCTGGTTAAAATATTTGGTTTTGTTGGCAGATAAGGAAGCGTGACCGGACGGAACAGGGGCAGCTACTGAAAGTTGGAATCAATAAAAAGCTGTCGGTTTATCAAGCTGCAACCAGGTTACAAATCAATAGTCTTTCATCTGTTGATTTGGATGGGAAGTCATCGAAGAGGTTGTTGCATGGAACTTTGGCATTGTTGATAGAAGCTGCTGAAGCATGTTTATTCTCTGTCTGGCGAAAGTTGAGAATTTGTGATGAGCTCTTCGGCTTATTGTTTGTGGGGATTTCCCAAATTGCTCTCACTCGTTGTCGTCAGCTGCTGCGTGTCTTGCTCATTCGCTTCAAACCCCTTGTGTTAAGTACATGTGCTCAGGTACATTATCTGTTTGCTTAGGGCTATCTCCTGCAGCTGGGGCGTATCTTGGTAACATGATTCTGCAATATGTTGCACTTTTTTGGGTAAACTTTCATTGTGATATATATATATTTTCAAACAGTCAGAGACTTGAGGCAGATTTTCTAGGACCTCTATTTCTTGTTGTGGCTGAAATATGTTCAGATTTTGATCCTATTGTATATGTGGAACCTGCACTTTTGAAGTTATTCCGCAATTTGTGGTTCTATGTCGCTCTCTTTGGGTTTGCACCTCCAATTCAAAAAACTCTATCTCTGATAAAGTCAGTTTCCCGTAATCTGAATAGTGTAGGGAATTTCTCTTCAAGCAGTAGGTGGGCCATACATGTGGAATACTCGGTGGCCTTCTGCTGTTCAGCGTATTTCTCAAGGGACCCCACCTCTTGTAAGTTGATCAATAAAAAATCTTCCCTGATTCTGTTCTCCGTTTGACTTGATCATTGATATCTCTTTATATTTTGCTCCGAGATTTAGCTAAATTCTGTTTACTCTTTTATGGATGTCTTATTCATATGTAGGAATTCGACCAATTTATTGCTACTTCTGGAGATCAATTTTGTCATATTTTAATGGTGATAAAAAAAGTCAAATTTGATTCACATCTGAGAAATCTAATATGACGTTTACATCGCAGCGATGCATATATATTGCATGTATCTGTATCATTAATTTTATCAGTTGTTTTTTTCACGTACAAGTATTGTGACTAAATTGTAGTTTTGGAGATAAACCCCAGCTTACAAGCACCTATTCCAAAATTGATTAAGCATACTTTCCTCATCTATTTTGCCCAGTTTGCCTAGAACTTTTTTATCCTATTCACCAAATACTTATTCTGAACACTTGATGTTCTAATGTCTGTTTCATATTTTATTGGGTCATTTATTTATGTATCAATATGGTGGCTCGAAATGGGAAATTTGTAATGACTAAGCATGTATAGTAATTTATCCTTGCAATTATGCTTGAAACAGTTTAATAAGATCCTTTTAACCAAAAATTATATCTCTATTCAATTGATTTTCGTATAAGTATATGTTTAAGTATGAGAATGATCAATCTTTCCTTTTTCTACTAGGCATTATTCAAGGCATAAAACTATTCTGCTGCCAATTACTTCTTTACAGTATTTTATGTCTTACATTTTTGTGCCATAACTCAATGTGACAATTACTTGAATTTTTGTGTCAATTAATTGCTTACAGTATTTTATTTCTTAAATTTTTGTGCTATGACTCAATGTGTAATATTGCTTATTGAGTGCAGTATCTTAAAGATGGTGGGAAATGGAGAAAAGACTGACCTATTGAAATTTGGGAGGCTCATAAAGCCGCAATCCAAGCGTTTTCTTGTGAAAGGTATAGATTTTTCTTTGGGTATTGTATGGTATTGATTTTGTGGTATGATTTTGTTAGCATTTTCTTTTCTTCTCTTCTCGTGAAGTTCTTAATTATTATCCCTGATCTCTATTTTTTGCTTAAGATTTCTTGTAGTTATCGAACTATAAAGACACTGATGTTGAAACTTGAAGATCCTACACCATGTTGCTTTGGATACGAATGAACAATGACAGTTTTGTTTATGGTAATTCAGGTTTAAGTGACACAACTCTACACATACTTTTGAAGAGCATACAGGTCGGCTTCTTGCATGACTATTCCTTTTGAATATCTTTGAGTAGATGTTATAGTTTTCATTTTTAAATATTAATGTGTTTTTATAAAAATTGTGGTGGTTGTTTGAAAGTTTTCAATGGTAGTAATTATCATATTCTAGATGATCTTTAAATTTGCAAGTTATGAAAAAAGAACACATTAGTTTTTAGACCCTAATTGACTTGGACGCAGAAATGGACGTGTCTTGGTGGCATCTTGCATCATGACGCCCCGTGAATTCAAAGCAAAGCGATGTTGCTAAGATATTCGACAAAAGTCCAAGCGCCATGTCTTAGGCTCTCGTTATGTTTATTGGTTCAGAAGATGTCCGCTAAAGTCTTTTTTGGAAAACCTCCATAAAACATATATAGGGGATAGAGATAGTTGAGGGGCACTGAGGGTCTAGCTAGCCTCTTGCCCTCAAGCTTTGGCACCGTTGAGCAAAATATAAATGTGTCTATGTTTCTTTGGTGTATTAGTGTATGAGTGTATTTCTTTTGTGTATTAGTATGTGTGAACAGAGTGTATGAGTGTGTTTCTTTGATGTATTAGTGTGTGTGAACAGAGCGTATGTTTTTGGGTTTTTTTCTGGGTATATTATTGTTTATGCGTTAGTTTATGTTTCTATAATATTGTGTTTATTTGTTTGGTGTAGGAGTATGTATGTGTTTTTGGGTATATTAGTGTGTATTAACACGGTGTGTAGGTGTGCATGTATATGTTGATTAGCTGGGGTGTGTGTGTGTTTTGGTGTATTAATGTGTGTATTTTTTAGTGTATTAGTGTGTGTATTTGTGTTCGTGTAATAGCGTGTGTTATTGTATATTAGTGTTCGTGTTTTTGGTGGATTAGTTTGTGTTAACACTACATGTGATGGAATGTATGCATTTTTGTGAATGTGTGTGTGTGTTTAGGTGCTTCATTGTGTGTGTATTTTTTGGCGTATTAGTGTGTGCATATTTTAGTTGGTGTATTAGTTGGTGTGTGTGATATGAGATGATGTATTAGTGTATGTGTGTATGTTGTGTTTGTGTTTGTGTATGTGTAATAGTGTGTTTGTGTGTTTTGGTATGTTGGTGTCTGTGTTTTTTGATGCATTATGTGTATTTTATTGTGTAGTAGTGTTTGTTAACACATTGTGTGTGGGTGTGTATGTATTAGTGTGTTTGTGTGTTTGTTTCAGTGATGGTGTGCGCATACATGTGTATTTGTGTAATAGTTTGTGTATGTGTGTGCATGCCTTTGGTGTGTTAGTGTGCATGTTTTTTTGGTGTATTAGTGTGTGTATGTTTTTTAATTTAAGGTGGCAGTGCGTTTTCATTAGTGTATGTGTATTCTTTTAATCAATGTGTTTTTGTGTGTGTTTTTATGTGTACAATGTGTATTTATTTTTATCAATTTTTTTTTGGTGTATAGGTTTTTATGTTTATTGCGATTGGTTGTTGGCGTGTATATTTTTATGATAGTATGTCTGTATCTTTCTTATATAAAGTGTTTTTGTGTTTTAATGTGTATAACATGTTTGTCTGTGTGGTTATTACTCTGTTTTTTTTTTCTTTTGTTATCGAAGTGTTGGTGTGTATGTGCCTCCTTATGTGTCTGTGCTTGTATTTTTATTTTTTATTATGTGTATCTTTATTACTATATGACTATTTTAAAGTTTGTTTCCGGGTTTCCGGGTTGAGTCCATTTTTTATAACCCTATTGTAACAATTTTTGAGTTTTGCCTGGAAGTTCACACAATGATTTATCAAGCCTTTTACTTGTAGAAATGGATGCCTTGGTACCTTTGTTTAAGAATTCTTAACTGCATTTGGTTGATTTTTGAAAGTAGGTATGTTTTTACCATGTGGGTTCATTTAGATCATCTGTTAGGTTGTTTCGTCAAAAAGTGAGTTTCTTATGTTTGGTCAAAGATTGATGGAAAACTCACCGATCTCAAGAAAGAGGTAGCCACTTAAGACATAGTACTGCAAGACGCTAGCTGAGTTTAGTAAGGAGCGTTTATGTGTAAATTCTCAATACATTCATAAATATGTAAGCACATACTTACAAATTAGGTACCTAACCTTCAGGTGAGCTTGTTACAGATGAACCTTATTTTGTAAAAAAAAACCTTTTTTCTTACTTTTTTTTTTTTGTTGGACTTCGAAGTTCATAAGTATCTTTCTCAATGATAAACTTAAATCTTTTGGTTAAGATTTCTTACAGTTATCAAACTATGTTTTGGATAAGAATAATTGATATGGATTGTTGTTAATGGTAACACAACTTTAGTGGTTTGGAAAGGGAGAACATGTGTGCATACTTTCGCAGGGCATACAGGTTCGTTTTCTTGCGTGGTTTGGTCTTTCCAATAATTGGTTTATTGGTCATCATTTAAGGTATATGACCCATCTGTTGTCAATTACTTCCTTACAATTTTTTGTTCCTTCAAAATTTTTATGCCATTTAACTTCTATGTCACGAGTTTTGATATTCTCTATTGATTGCTGTATATTAAGATGGTGGAGGAGAGACCAACATGTTGAACTTTGGAAGGCTTAAAAGGTTGTAATCTAAGCAGTTATACCTTCAGGTGAGCTTTTTATAAGTGAACATTATTTTGCTTGATTTGAGGTATGATTGTGTAAGTTTTTTCTTTCTCTTTCATTCTCTTCTCTTTTTTGTCTTGAACCTTGAAGTTCTTAAGTATCTGCACTATGATCTCTCAACGATCAAATTAAGTGTTTTGCTTAAGTTTTCTTACAGTTATCAAACTATGCTTTGGATAGGAATGATTGATATGGATTGTTGTCAATCATAATGCA